GTGTTGTGTGTGTGTGTGTCTATATCTCATTGCAATATCAATTTATATATGTATAGTAGTATATGATATAATTTTTTTTTTTTTTTTATACATATATATTACATGTTGTATCGTATGTGTATATGTAACATATATCTAAACTGTCTATTATGTTATCTATATACTACTTATATCTATAAATTAACGTATGTTGTAATATATATATAATATATATATTATAATATATTATATATTATTTATAAATATAACAATAGCTGGGTTTTTTTTTTGCACAAAATGGGGGGTGGGGTTTTAATATGACCATTACTGGGGTTTTTTTTTTCTTTTTTTTTTTTTTTTTACTTGTATATTGTAATTATAATAAATTACCATGTGTCCAATAGTACGCTAGTGGTGTGTGTTATTATATATACATATCATATACTACTTATATCTATATATTTATTAATATAGGTAGTAATATATTATATGTATGTATGATATGTATGTATTATATATGTATATATGTTATATGTATATATAGATACTAGATTAACTATATATATGATATATACGTATATACTATACTCACTGATATATATGTTGTGTGTGTGTGTGTGGTGTGTGTGGTGTGTGTGTGTGTACCATTATATATAATAATGCATTGAAAGTATGTAGTGTATGCCGATGTGCTCGGGTGTAGTACGTGTGTCACATCATAGTTTCGTCTAACAGGATGATGCGCTTTGAGCGAAGCGACTTTTTCCCTCCTTGCCCATAGGCTTCTGAATGGGTGCAGTGGTTCACTGTTGTTGGCGCGTATGCATTATTGACATAGTAAAGGGGTAAAGGTATTGTTGAGAGTGATTGAGATCAGTGACGACAGTTGCATGGTCGATGTCGACTTATTGTAGCAGAGTGACATTAGTGGCGTTAGGACGCTTCACATGAGAGCTAAGATGTGTTAGTTGTTCCACTTGAGTGTCAGCTCTAAGTGGTGGAGTCGAGGAGTACGTTATTTAGTTCGGTGGTTTGCTTTCTTCTGCATAGGTTGCATTTATTCTTGTATAGACCCGGATGACACTGAACTTTATTGTTGATATGTGTGGATATTTAATATGTCTCTCATGTTGTGTGTGTATAATGCACTCTCTCTCACTGCAAGTTACGTTAAGTTCTTGGCGTGCTCTTGATTGATGCCGTAGTCTTATCACTCATGTTTTGTCAGAACTCGCTGCAGGACGTGTAAGCGTGGTCTTACTGGTGCCGGGGCAGTGGCAGTCTTACCGCATCAACCAGGGGGAGAGAGAGATGAGACTCGCGCCGGCTCTGGGGTGGGCCTCTTCAACGCGAGCTTACCGCATTAGCATGAGCGCCTTGACCTTCTTGTGCCACACAGAGAGCCAACAGGTCTAACGTAGGTTGCAGATTTTCGTTGTTCCTGCCGTAAGTGGCCCCGCAGACAGATTACCTCAGCCGTCTGCTCACAGGTGAAGAAGGAAAATGCATCATTTCTTTTCGTGCCGGTTTGCTTTGCACTGAACATTATCCCTTTTTCTCAGCTGGACTTCCTTGTGAAAGCGGGTGGCTCCATCTCAGAGTATAGCAGGTATCGCATTTAACCGATGTGCTCTCATTGTATGAATCTACCTTACGATACACAGTCTTTATCTAAGACTTTCTAAATCAACTCTTGTGACCCTTTATCGTATACAGTACCAATAGTTAGTCCAAGGATTTCATGGTATGAGTGGAAGAGGTCAAAGCATTAGCTCGATTAAGAAGATATCACAGAGTGTACTCGGTAATATCACAAGGGAATGTGATACCAGGGCTAATGAGGGATCAATAATAGGACCACAAGAGGGTCTCTCGAGAAGGGCAGATAAGTGGATTCTAGACTCATATCTGGAACATATCGAGCACTGCTCACACGCTAGAACACGCTTGAGGTGAGAATCACTCTGTGTTGGCGCTCGACAGGTGAAAATACACATGAATCTCGCAGCTATTATGTGAGATAGTTGTCACAACATGAAGAAGGTATTGTTCGATTCATCATCCATCATATGTATATAAGTGGCATTGGGACTCAACGTGCAAGAGGGGCAGAGGACACGACACATAGGCCACGAGGTCCTTCCACCCGGACCACTCCCCACCTCACATACAAGCACGTCCTGTTCAACGCCTATCGATAGATGGCGCAGCCACTCCACGACATCATGCAATAGTAGTGCAGTGAGCCGCGGGGAAGCATAGTTTCTCAATGGCCAAAAAGGGCAAGAATTAGGCCACCACCATACCTAGCGTGATCCAAAAGGCTTGAGACACACAAGGTCACAAATGGAGCACATAGTGCATTGAGATCTAAAAGAACTGACATGAATGAGTTAGCAGTTGTTGAGAAGATCAAATAAAGTTCCTCCACCAAATTCCCCAATTTATCGCCTCACGTAAGTATCGATGATTCTTATCGGTTCTGCTTAACTGTCAGAAATATACATAACTAGTATTTGTGTATAGTATGGTTCCTTCTGTTCGGGCGTTATGCGGGGCCTAGGCGAGAGGAAATCTGGTACGGCTCTTTTCTTCTTTGTGGAGGATTTACTTCCAGTCCGAAAACTATGTAGCTTTTCTTTTTATTACTGGTGGGAACGTTGGGGGAGACACAACTTCGCCGCCATGGGATGCCTCTAGGATCCTACGCGCGGAACGGAGTGGCGCGATTAGTATGCCGATCCATTAATCTGTGCTTAGTTCAGCTTCATTCTAACTTCACACCACCCCACCACACACACACACCCACATATATATTTATTTATCCTATTATATCTATATATCATATATCATAATATACATATATACATTATTTAATCTCATTACTACTAATATTATAATATATATTATATAAATATATATATATACTATATATACACCCTACGATACATGGGACATTATGTTTATTATATACCATATACGGTAAACAGTATGTATATACAGTGTGCACATATTATATAATATATATATAATTTATAAATCTATATATATACATACATATAATAACTTAAATATCATATAGGCATAGGACATAGTAGACATAGATTATGTACATAACACATACATACAATACTGGTATTAATGTATAAAAAAAAAATAATATATATATATACATATTTAAATTATTGATATATACATGACCCACAACACACAACAACACACACAACATCACAACACACACACACCCACCATCCACACCACACACACACAGATATTATATTATATATATATAATTAGAATATATTATTTATATATTATGTATATGTGTTGGATTGTTGGTGGTGGTGTGTTGTGCGTTGTGTATCTCTTGGTGTATACAGTATAAGATATGTATAATTTATTCATATAATATATGTTATCATATAATATATATATATTTTATAGTTTATATTATGATACTGTATATATTACATGGGTTAATGTGTATAGTATACATTACAATAATTATATTATGGTTAGTATAACACGCACACACCAACACACCAACCACACACACCCCCACCATATATATATATGTTGATAATATATAATATAATAATATATATATATGTATAATATAATATTATTATATATAACATGAGTGGTGAATGTTGCTGTGATGTATTGTGTGTGGTGGTGTTTTTGTGTATCATAATATTGTATAAATAACATATATAATATGTATCATCATATTAGTTATAATTAAATATAATATTAATATATTTGTAATGATTTGTATATAAACATTATACATCATATATTATAATATTCTATAATTAACCACACAACACAACACAATACACTAGTTACCCCACCACACCCCACACCATATAATATATATATAAATATATATTATATATATTGTGTGTGGTGTTGTGTGTGTTGTGTGTGTGTGTGTGTTGTGTATATATATATTATTAATATATAATTATTATTAATATATGATATAAAATACATAATCATACTACAACATAATCATATAATATATTATATATTATATTAAGTACATATATTTATATTACTTGTTTTTTAAATAATTGCAACTATTATCTGCACACATAAGTATAATTATGTAGGATTTCATAGTTTCCACATGTGTGCATCATAGTCCGATACAGGCAATGCGTTACCTTAGTGATGCCAGATTGATTGCGTATATTGAGCTAGTTTTGTGCGATGTCATGAGTGTATTTTGCGCAGACATGTACTTGTAATGCTTTGTGGTACGTGTTCCTCGCATTCTGATATGATTCCTGATACTTGCCAGTCGATGAGCTATCTAAGGCAGCGTGTTTCATACCAGGGGATGGAAGAGGTATTGGCACCCCTACCCCCTGAAATAAGCTTCTATCGGCAAATGAAGCTTAAGCCGGTTATTTGTCGGCAAATTCTTTAAGATAAGACTACTTGTAATGACCGACACCCAGCAAGCGCGCCCTTTTGTCCGACAATTTAAAACCCAAGTAAAAAAACAGTAAATGGAAGGCAGTAGATCTTCCTCGAAGGAACGCGGCCACAGGGACAACCTTCATGATTCGCATCGTTTTTATAAGCAGCGTATAAACACGTTCTTGTGTCTTCAGGAGTTTTTAATGCAGGTATTTCAGTATAACTTCAGATTTTAAATCCATAAATATATTTTCTCACCCGCATAATATGAGCAAGTCTTTTGGCTGCTTTTCTAACGTAGATCAGCGAAAAAGAGATTCACTTAGTTTTGGCCCAAAGAACAGGTTATGTCTTGGCCATTCTAGATTCCCAGTTTCCAACTTTGCACTTTGTACAAGCCACAATTCTATAAGTCTGGCATTTACCAGAATTTAGATGAGGTTAATGTAAACGTATTTTCAGACGGCTTAAAAACTACCGTTCCATTTGGAAAACACTGTTGCATTTGATAAACATTTTAAATGAAAGACTTGATAGGCCTATATTTACAACTCAATATCGAAAACATCAGTCTCAAAGGAAGACCTTTCGCTTTACGCCTCATGACAAAAGGTTAGTGGAATAGCAGGTCTTAAAGCAGTACCAAGGAGTAAAGTAGATATAAATATTAGAAAAGTCTGCAAAAAGATTTTCTCACTGCTACCAACCTTGAATCTCTTCAGCTGTTGTTTTGATACGGCGCTGTGTAGAACATTTAACCTTGTATTTAGTAAAGGTATAGCAAAAATGGTAGCAATGTGGTTTTGAGCTTTCACCTTTTATGATTTAGATAATCTTTTGGATGGAACATCAAAAACTATAAATATTCAAAGGTAGAAATTATCCTTCACACAAATAATTATTTTCATTCTTTAATGTATCTGGTGATCTTTTTCACAAGAATGGAATGTAGTTTTTTTATTGTGGGAGGTTATATTGAAAAGACCAGGGTTACGTGAAACAATTATCTATTCTTACAGTTAACAAGGAATGAAATTGGTTCAAAATCAAATACCTACTTGTGAAAACTTGGCAAAATCTCCAAATTTCTCAAAAGATTGACTAGATACTTGGGTTTGAGGAAGGAAGCGCCCCGGCGCCACGGGGGAGGGGGAGGGGGAGGCAACGACTGGCTGGACTTCGAGTGGAACCGTAGCCACCGTGGTCGTCGTGGCCATAGCCGCCGCCATGACCGTGGTCGTCGTGGCCATACCCGCCATGGCCGTGGTCGTCGTGGCCATATCCACCATGACCGTGGTCGTCGTGGCCATATCCATGGCCGTGTCGTCGTGGCCATATCCACCATGGCCGTGGTCGTCGTGGCCATATCCACCATGGCCGTGGTCGTCCATATCCACCATGACCGTGGTCGTCGTGGCCATATCCACCATGGCCGTGGTCGTCGTGGCCATATCCACCATGGCCGTGGTCGTCATGGCCATAACCGCCGTGTCCGTGGTCGTCGTGGCCATATCCCTTGTGGTCGTCGTGGCCATATCCCTTGTGGTCGTCGTGGCCATACGAACCCTTGTGTCCTCCCTTCTTGCCGTAGGAACTCTTGTGGCCGTAGTGTCCTTTGTCGCCGTAGTGGCCCTTGTGGCCCTTGTGGTCGTCGTGGTACTTGCCCTTCTCGTGGTGCCCCTTGTGGCCGTGCTTGTCGTGGTGATGTCCCCCCTGCAAGAAATCATTACCATGATTGTGTTGCACATTTCATGCACAGAAGATATTTTACTTTTACCTTTTCCCTGATTAGTCTGCCTGAACCGTTCCTCCTGAGTGAGACCAGTGCCTACCTTGTAGTGGCCTCCCTTGTAGTCCTTGCCCTTGTGGCCCTTGAAGTAGGCGTCGAAGTCGTCGTATTTGCTGTGGTACTTCTTCTTGTCGCTGTCGTCGTAGAACTTCTTGTTGTGGTGGTACTCCTCCTTGTGGTAGACGTTCTTGAAGCCCTGAGGAGAACAAGGCAGGAGCAAGGGATTTATACAAGCTAATGAAACCAGTGTCTTGTCGGTCTATTTACTAAGTATCGTTTTATAAGAAGGGAAGCTTGTTCTGTCTATGAGCTACAAGGGTTTTTTAGAAAAACTACTCGTTATCAACTTTCCTGAAGAAATTATTTTTTCGTGCCGTGTTAACATAACTGCATAAAGATTTATGTACACCAAACTATTTTATTATACTGCTATTAGCAGACACGAAGAATCATGATGCTTCTGATGCTGATAACAAGTCTCATTTCGTCAGCTTAACTCACCTTGTCTTTGTGACCTTTGTTGTGGTGACCCTTGGATCCGTAGTGGTGGCCTTTCTTGCCCTTTTTGCCTTTGTGAGAATCTCCGTAATACTTGTGCTTGTCGTGATGCCCCTTGTACTTCTTGCCATTGTTGCCCTTGTATCCCTGCCAAGAGAAAATGATTAATACTTCCATGTTTGATAATCGCAAAATCTCTGTTCAATTTATTTCTTGTCACTGGAGGTAAAGTGTTCTCACCTTGTAGTGTGCCTTTCCATGGTCACCGTAGTGGCTGCCTTTGTAGCCCTTGTTGGCTTTATGTCCCTTGTGGCCCTTGTAGCCGGCCTTGTCATGGTACGAGCCCTTGTATCCCTTGTCGGCCTTGTGACCCTTTCCACCTCCGTAACCTGTGATATTTTGAAATTTAAAAGAAATAAATTGCTTAAAATCGTTAATGATTGCAACGATGACACCTTTAGTAACTGAAAAAGATATGTTGGCAAGAATGATAATTTTCCTTCTTTTACCTGTAGCAGACGGCTTGAGATCTGTCGCGGCCACTACGGAGACCTGTTGGCTCTCTTGTGGCACAAGAAGGTCGGCCTCATCAGGCTCCTGAAGGAAGCCAACCCCGAGGTCCAGCTCCTCGTGGTCCCCCTTGGCTGAGGCGGAAACTGCCACTGCCGCCACCAGTAAGACTGCGACCTGGATCTGACAAAAAGTGATTGAATGAAGTAAATAAAGTAACTTCATAAAATTGTGTAGAAGTAACACAGAACAGAGAGAAATAAATAAAAACGAATCAATAAAAAATACAAAGATAAATGAATTAATGACGAAACAAAGAAAGACATAATACGAAGATAAGCGACTCCCATGACACACCCATTTGGCTCTCGTCATCTTGAACGCTGCCGACAGTTCCCTCCTGTCGCTAGCAGGAATCGGCGCCTACTGACCTCTCTCCCAACTTTCCCTCTCTTTATAGGCAGGGAACCGCTGGGTTTCCCTTCAGAAGCCATGGGCAAGGGAGGGGAAAAGTCGTTTCGCTAAGCGCACATTCGTTAACGAACATGATGTACACACGTACATACACGAGCACATCGATACATACATACATTCATGCATTTATATATAGATGTACAACACACACACACACACACACACACACACACACACACACACACACACAACATATATATATGTATATATAATATATATATATATATATATATATACATATATATACATACATACATATATATATATATATATATATATATATATATATATATATATATATATATATATATATATATATATAATATATATATATATATATATATATAATATATAATATATATATATATATACACACACACCCTACGTACATGGACACATGTTTTATATAATATACATATACGTAAACAGTATGTATAATACACATGTGCATATATATATATAATACATACATACATAATTATATATAAATATATATAGATAGACATATAGATATATATATATGTACATATACACATACATACATACATGTATATATATGTATAAAAATATATATATATACATATATAAATATATTGATAGATATAGACACACACACACACACATACACACACACACACACACACACACACACACACACACACACACACACACACACACACACACACACACACACACACACACAGATATATATATATATATATATATATATATATATATATATATATATATATATATAGATATATATATATATGTGTGTGTGTGTGTTGTGTGTGAGTGTGTGTGTGTGTGTGTGTGTGTGTGTGTGTGTGTGTGTGTGGTGTGTGTGTGTGTGTGTCATATCTATCAATATATATATACTATATATATATATATATATAATATATAAATATATATATATGTAATGTTATATGTATGGTGTGTGTGTGTGTGTGTGTGTGTGTGGGTGGTGTTGCTGTGTGTGTGTTGTGTTGGTGATGATTGTGTGGTTGTGTGTGTGTGTGTACTGCGTATACAAAACACACCTAACACACACCACATGTATATATATATTATGTAAAATACAATTTAATAATGTGTATGTATATGTAAAATTATATATTCATCTATGTATATATAACAAACATACATATATATAATATATATATATATATATATATATATATAAAATATATGATATAATTTATATTATTATAATATATATATAATATATATATATAATAATACATATACTAATATTTATATATGGCAT